TCTCCTCACCTGTGTGCTTCTTACCTTCACCAGGTCTCCTGCCCATGCGACCCCCTCCAGAGAGCAGCCCCCGACCCCACCACCGCACAGGAAGTCTCAGTGAACACGGCAACGCAACGAGGTCTGACTCCCAAAATCTCATCCTTGGAATCCCCAGAAGGAATCGCTTCCCGCAGAGCTTCTTTCATAGACAGCCAGTCTGAGCTTTTGAATCGGGCGGGGGAAATCTCTGCTTCTTTCTCCCCGCCCGCCTTCCCTTGACGGACCCCCTCCCCTAGTTTTTCCCCCCCCCCCCCCCCCCTCCCTTCAAGAAAGAAATCTTCTGCACTTTAAACGGGGAAAGAAAACCGCCGCCCGAAAACAGCCGTAGTGCCTTCCGTGACGGAGAAAAGGAAACCAACCCGACCAATTATTGTCTTCGGCTGCCGACTTTTGTTTTCGAGGTGTGTCGGTTGTACCAAGAAGAAGATGCCAACTCCTCTTCCCTCCCTCCCCCCCCCCCCTCAAAAAAGCCCCCCCTTCCACCTCTCCGGGCATCCACCTCGGAGCGCCTAAATTACCCGGCCCTCGTTTGGGGTGAGAGTTCAGCCAAACTTCAAAAGGATCTGCTGTGGGCCAGCCAGGCCTAAGCCAAATAATTAAATAAAATTAGGAAAGCTTATTTTATTTTTAGTGCCTTTTCGAAACTTGGACCAGGCCTGCTCCGACCGAGAGAATCGCGCCCAGCTAGCAGCTCCACTTAGAGAGCCGCCTCAGGAACCTCGAATCCAAGAGAAACGAAAAGACGGCGGTGTGTCCAACGGCTCCCCGCGTATCGCCGCCGGTGTCTTTTGTGTTTCTCGTGGCATCTGCTTCGTCTTGGGTTCTTGCAATTCACCTTATCCGGGACATTATGAAATGCAAGGGGATCTCCTTAGTAGATCTCTTTGGGATCTTCGTCTAGGGATCCGTGGTGAGCCGTGCGGGGCCTTGGGGAGTTTTCCAGGTGTAGTCAAGACATTGTTCCTTGAATGTGGTCCCTGTGTGTGCATCTGTAGACACCTCTCAGCCGTCCTGGGCTCGCTGGGTTGAGACACTGCCTTATGGGCTGTACTTTCTGTATTTTACTGGTATGGAGAATTTCTCCCGTCCCCCCCTTTTTTTTTCTTTTTTCCTGTTGTTCCCAAGCTGGGGAGGGGGGAAATGGTCTTGGCCTCCTCTTTCCATGTGTGTTTGAAGGCCGTTTTCCAGTTCTGAGCCACGCTGTTTAAATTCCGACTGTTTCTCCTTCCTTGGTGGCTCACCAAATCAACCTTGGGATGATTAATTTAAAAAAAACAACAACTCTATAGCAGGGTCCGTGCTCCATAGCTGGCAAACTTGCCCAAAGCTCAAGCCTCTTGGACCCGTGCTCCACACACACACACACTTGGAAACCTTACTTATATAGGCCTCGCACCAAAAATTATTATTCTGCTCCAAGCTTTGAGCCATTCTAGCCTCCCTCCATCACTAAGCCTTCTCCAGAGGGTGGAATAGCTTCATGCATTCTTCAAGGTGCCTTTTTTTTTTTTTTGCCTTATTTTTGCTGCTGCATTTGGAGTCTCGCTTGATTGCAAAGCACAAATGTTAAGTCTTTTGGCCCATTAGAGGGTAAGGGAGCCAAAATCCTTGCAGAGTTCTTTCCTGGCTTAGGGTCAAGATTGCCCTCTGGTGGCCTTTCCTATCACAGCAAGTCTTATTTTCAGAAGAGGGTCTTATTTTGGGGGGTGTTTTTTGCCTTCTACCTCTTTTTTTTATGGGAACAGTCACCCCATTTTTTAAACATCACAGGCCTCTAAGCTCCCAACGCAGCGTTGTTTATTCTAGAGAAAGTCTTTCAAATGCCAACTTTTTTTTAACGTTGGGGTTTTGCGCCTATGGAGTCACGAGAATTCGAATGAGCTAGTTTAGGTCATTATTTTGTACAGGACACAGCTGAGTGTAATATCTAAAGTGTGGTAGGAAGACACAGATCCTTCTCCTGGGCTGCGCCGGAAAACCTTAGGCCGTACGAAGAAAATGCAGCCGTGAAACACAGACCAGATTTTCTTTTTAATGGGTTGAGTGGGAAATAGAGAGCCATGTTTGCGTTTGAGGACAATTCCCAGAATTTCTTTGGCCGTGGCTCCTCGGAATTCTGGAAGTTGCAGTCCGAGACACACAGAGGTATGTGTCTGTTGGGGAGAAGGAGTGGATGCTGTCCCTACTGTTTCCGCCTTTTGCCCTTTGCTATTTTCAGAACTCTTTCAACAACTTTGTCAGTCGTACACCAAAACTTTTCCCCCTGTGGACCAATGTGGTCAGGATGTTGATGCTGAATTATATTTATAAAGCACAAAAAGAAAGCATTCCACTTTGCAACTGCGAAAATAAAGACTTGGTACACTGAAACAGTGCGAAGGGCGTGTGTGTGCATTTATTTTGTGCTTGTGTCTTTCTCTGAAAAACCCACAGATAGTCCTTGGCTTAACGACAGTTCGTTTAGTGACGTTCAAAGTTACAAGGGCACTGAAAAAAAGTGACTTAGGACCGTTTTTCACACAATCGTTGCATTCAGAGAGCATCCTTCCAAAGAGATTGTCTTTAGGACTTTTTCAAAGCTCCCAGCTTCTCCCACGTACCTTATTTATATATTTGCCGGTGTCTTATTTAAACTTAACATTTGTATATCGGTGATTGCATGACATCCGTAGATGCTAAATAAAAAATAACCAAGATAAGTGGTTAGGATCAAGAAGAACATTGCTAATAAGATCAAAATGAAATGGAAAAAAAAAACTGCTGCTTTTGATCTCTTAGTACATACAAAACCACTTCTATTCTTGGAGTGGCTCCGAGCAAAGTCTGCATTTTGTTTGCTTTGTGTTCATTTTCGGTCTATGCCCTAGTTGCGTTCAGACAGGATCCCCAAAACAGACCCAGTTCTGGATCATTTCAAAAGTTCAGGAACGGCCAAAAAAGGATATCACCAGCAAAACATCCAGGATGGGAGTGGTAAGTGAACAGGATAGAAGGCTTAAGTTGGAGACTGAAAGCAAAACAATATTTGAAAGGGGCACTGTATGTATTTGTGTTTGTGTGTTTGTGCTGGTATGGCAGTATAAGATGCTGCAAAAGATTAACCTTGCAGCATCATCAAGATTCAGCAATTTTATAAAGACAGAATTACCCTTAACTGGAGATAGGAAGACTGTGAACAGTTTGGGCAAACCCAAAGATGCCATTAGGCTATTTGCGAGATTGCAAAGCATTTCTTCGGTCTGTTTTTCTCCTGTGGAAAACAAAAGGTGAACCACAATTTGGATAGCATCATTGTCCTAACATTGTAAAAAGAGATTAGATATCAGCTGTTTATGAGTGCAGGTTTTCTCAACTGTCTATTTTAACAAGAGTTCCAATTTTCAGAATTCCCCAGCCATCATGTTTTAAGATGGGTGGGTTTCAACTCCCAGTATGGTGGCTGGGGAATTTTTATTTATGTATTCATTGGGGTTTTTTATCTTGCCTTTTTAAAAACTTCGTAAGTAATTCAAGGCAACAAACATGCATGTTCTTGGTGCAAAAACATTCCATGGCTGGTCACAGACATCAAGTGAAGGATGTTTTATCATGTTTTGGTTTCTGCCAACAACAGCAACTTGTCTCAAAACATCCAGGAAGTTGATCTCCAGCAACTGCAGGAAGACAGGAGTCCCCCATAAAGTGTGATTTGTTTTAGCAACTGATTTTCAATGCTGTTTTCTGTCTCTGTGTGCAGTTCTTTGCTGAAAAGTTGTGTTGGTTGGCGGACAAAATCTTTTTCTGGCAATCTCAGGTATGCATTTGATGGGGGAGGAACTGCCTCCGTGTAATTAACCTGTGGAACCCTCCCAGACACAGGAAATGGCGAAAGGTAGAAGCGGGAGAATGTTTTGTACATGAAATGCTTAAATGTTTGCCAAAACCCCACCCGCTTCTAACATTGATGATGTTGCCTAGTTTTGTCATGAAACATCTGCAAGAAACCAGCCAAGCTCAGAGAGCACCAAGGACCCACATTCCTCCTCCTCCTCCTCTCCCAATCCCCATTCCCTTCTAGCACTGATTATGTTACCTAGTTTGGTAATTAAACGTCTGCAAGGAATCAAGCTCAGAGAGCACAAAGGACCCCATAGTCCTCCTCCTCCTCCTCCTCCTCCTCCCCTCCCCTCCCCTCCCAAACCCCATTCCCTTCTAGCACTGATGATGTTACCTAGTTTGGTAATTAAATGTCTGCAAGGAATCAAGCTCAGCACAAAAACCCTATAGTCGTCGTCGTTCTCCTCCTCCTCCTCCTCCTCCCCCCCTCCCCTCCCAATCCCCCTTCCCTTTTAGCACTGATGATGTTACCTAGTTTGGTAATGAAACGTCTGCAAGAAAACCACCAAGCTCAGAGAGCACCAAGGACTCCAGAGTTCAACCTTGCGCTTCAAACATTTTCTTTTATGGGTTTGAGTTTCTGGGCCAGGGCTCTTCACACGGTCTCTTCCCTTCTGCACATGAGCCCGATGGGGACACTGGCTCCATGAATATCTTTGCCTACAGAGCAGTGGTAGAGAAGGAACTGCTGTCCATTGGGGCAGGGACTGATCGCTACCACGTCAACAACAAGCATGACTTCCAAGGTACAGTCCAGAGCCCAGAGGAGATTGTCTCCAAGGCAGAGAGGCTGGTGGGCCAAACAATAGAGTATAAACTCATCAGCAAAAATTGTGAGCATTTTGCCAATTGCCTGCGCTACAATGTGGCCTGGAGTGATCAAGTAAGTGCGGTCTTTGGAGATTTAGACAAATCTCTTTTTTCTATATCTATCTATCATCTATCATCTATCTATCACCTATCTATCATCTTTCAATCATCTATTGTCTATCACGTATCTATCATCTATCAATCATCTATCTATATCAATCATCTATCATTTATCTATCATCTATCACCTATCTATCATCTATCCATCTATCTATCACCTATTATCTATCAATCATCTATCTATCAATCATCTATCACCTATCTATATCATCTATCTATCTATCTATCTATCTATCTATCTATCTCTATCATTCTATCTATCTATCTATCTATCTATCTATCTATCTATCTATCATCCATCTATCCATCCATCCATCTAATAATGCAATTAAATATACACAGTCATAATCTTCCAACTTCTAATCTTGACATACATATTGTGATTGCAATAAATTATTTATTTATGAATACAATGTATTTGTTGTCCCCTGTTGTGTTGTTACTAGTTCAATATACTGAAAATTAATCCATGCTCCACCACAATTTCAGTATCCAAATTATCTCAGCGTGCCAATAGGGCCTATTATTATTAAGACTTGGCCAGTCCCAATGTTTTTTCTCCAAGTCCCCTAAATTCATAGTCCTTAAACACTATCAGCTTCAATATAATTTTACACAGTTATTAATCATAATACAATCAGATATGTCTAATCATAGTCTTCCACCTTCCATACTCAATAGGCTTACAGTTATAAAAAAATTCTATTGTATTTCAATATATGGACAGCTATTTTCCCAATTTCCACTTTCATTTTTTTTTTAAAAAACTTTTTTTAATACAATCAGCATATTCTTTTTAAAATCTCATCATTTATTGACTTTGTGGAGATTTTGACAAATTTCTCGCTGTCTCTGTCTTGGGATGATCAAAATACTGAAAAATAACACTGCCGTTGTGAGTGATGAGAAGGTCTTTCCACATGGTGCTCTGTGGCTGTGTTGGGACTAGAATTCCCAGAATTCCTTGGGCTGTGGGAGCTGGAGGATTCTGGGAGTCACAGTCCAACTAGCTCCCAAGCCCATGAGGGAGTCGGCTTATTTCCCAAAGTGTTCAAGAAGTAACGGGTGGAAGATAATTAAAGAGAGATGCATCCTGGAATTAAAGAGAGATTTCCAGACAGTGAGAACAATTCACCAGTGGAAAAGTTACCACCAGAACTTGTGGTTTGCTCCATCACTGGAGGCTTTCAAGAAGAGATTGGACAACCTTTGTCCAGGGTTGCACTATAAGGCTTCCAACCCTATGATTCTATAAAAGGTTCTGTTATGTGTTCTAGGTTGCGGAGACCTGATCAAACTATAGAAAATCCAGAGCCTTTCTCGGGCTTGGGTAATATGATCTTTTCTTGCACCAAAGAGAAATCTTTGCTGAGGCTCTTTCTCTTCGATTTGCAGGTCTGGGATACGTGCGTTGGAATCTTAGCCGCTTCATGCTTCGTCTTACTCCTAAGCCAGAAGATCTAGCAAGGAGAACTTCAATCTGGCCTCAGTGAAGTCTCAGAGAATTCAATATTTCTCCAATATTTTTGTTTGCTTTCTTCCTCTTTCCCACTCTCTCCATCTTCTTTGCCTTTTTCTTGAGATACGAGCTCGCCCAAAGAAAATCTACGCTTGGTGCTCTCCTCTCCAGTTTCAGTCACAACTGCCAAATAATAGTTCACCAACCCACGTCAATAGTGAGCGCCTGGTGCAATTTCTTCCACACTTGTTTGGATCATGTTTCCACTCGAGCTGGTTGGGGCTCCGTCTTCTTGGTCTCAGAGGGTCCACCTGTATCTTCTCAGCACAAGGGTTGCAGATGCTTTGTGAAGACAATTCACTAGTGGAACAGCTTCAGAAGTTGTAGGGCCTTCATCGCTGGAGGCTTTTAAGAAAAGACTGGACAGCCACCATCTGAAATGTTTGAGCATCTCCTGTTTGAGCAGGGGGTTGGATTAGAAGACCTCTAAGGCCCCTTCCAGCTCTATTCTGATTGATTGACTGAAATAGACCAGGCCACCTAATCTCACTTTATGGCATGGCTACATTAACAGAACCTTGCAAGTCTGAAAGTCCAGGTCTACCGCTCTCTATTTTACAGCCTGAGAAACTAAGGAAGATCCCTACATTTCCCCCCATGTCCATTATGCAGCCGAGGGCTGGGCTGTCTTTTGTCCGACTGTTCCCATGGAAGCAACTCTTAGCCCAGTCTCCCAAGGTCTTTCTCCTCTACAGCCCAAAAAACTTAGGGAGGGTCTCTCTTTTGGGTTTCCCCCACCCTGTCCGTTATGCAGCCAAGGGCTGGGCTGTCTCTTATCTGGCTGTTCCCATGGAAGCATCCCTGCCCGGCCTCCAAGTTTATTCCCACATGCCACTACGGGTTCTTACCCAAACAGCTGAAGGTCGCACCCAGGGAGTATTGTTCTGTTCTCCCCGTCACAGCCGTTCAGGGAAGAGAAAGAGAAAAAGGCCCAGATTGAACCAGAGTTTAGGAAACAGGCATTTGGCAAGCCATGTGTGTTAAGAAGACCAGAGTAGTGTCTGGTTCCCAAATGGGCATCTCACAGTGGGGGTGGGGCGGGGGTGGGATTCTACCAGTTCGCACCTATTCGCTAGAACCGGTTGTGAACATCCTAAGCAGTTGGGAGAACCGGTTGTTAGAAGAAATTACTGGGCTAATCCTGTAAGGAAGGCAGGAAGGAAACATTCTGGTGTTGCTTACAGAAACTGCCTCTCCGTTAACCCTTATTCCATTCTTGGCAGGACTAGACTTCCGGTCTCTGGAACTTCTCTGGTGTGTTTTTCTCCTCCTTTGCTGGTACTTTGCTTGTGTGGAGTGGCCATTCAAAGTCACAATGGCACGGAAAAAAGTGACTTATGACCCTTTTTCACACTTACGACTGTTGCAGCATCCCCACAGTCATGAGAGGCCAGGCGAGGAGATGCGTGCCTCGAAGTGAGTGATATTGAGTTGGCCACGCCCAGCCAGTCGCATGACCACCAAGCCATATCCGCCCAGTCACATGACCACCAAGCCACGCCCACCACCTAAGCCACACCCACAGAACCAGTTGTTAAAAAATTTGAATCCCATCCCTGGGGTGGGGGGTGGGGGAGGAATCTGTGGTGGGTCCTGGGTTCATTTCCATGGTTGTTCATTCCTTCATCCTCCAAAGTTCAAAAGGTCTTTTTCTCAGCAAAACATAATCCGGACTGAGGCAGCAACACGAACTGTTTTTATCGTTGTTGTTAGTTTCACCGAGATAAGATACGGCTCTCCACTTCTCACCTGGCTTAAGTCTGGGAAACCGACCCGGCAAAGCCTGCCACGGTCTTCTGATGACCTCGATAAAGACAGGCAGTTAAAATGGGCCTCTTTTGATAACCACAACCAAACAGATCGCGCAGATCCAACAAAACCACGTCCAAGAACGCAGCTGCCCTGAAAAATATGGACCCACCTGAATAGAATCAGGATACAGACACTCCTCGACTTACAACAGTTCACTTAGTGACTGTTTGAAGTTACAACGGCACTGAAAAAAGCGAGTTAGTTTTTCTCACTTCAAACCGTTGCAGCATCCCTGGGCTCACATGATTTCCATTCAGACGCTTGTCAATTGATTCATATTTATGACCGTTGCAAGCAGAGGAATACCTGTATACCGAAGTATGCATTTTTGTGTGTGTTTTCTGGAAAGCAACTCCCTATACAGTTGGTACTGCACTTAACTCCGGAATTGAGCTGCACGGTCATAAGTTGAGGCGGTCATTCTGTGGGTCACATGATGCGGACGTTGTTAAGCGAATGCAACAGCTGAAGAAATGAGAACAGTTTCCCCAATGAGTGTGTGGTTTATTTTGCTGGAAACTAGCAAAAAAACTCGTCAGAAATCAAACAGGGGATCGCGTGTGACATTGTTCTCTGTGGCTTTTTTTTAAGAATACAGAAAGCGCCTCTGGTTCCCAAATGGGCCATCTCAAGTTACGGACACCCAAGTGAGCAATTGGGTCATTCCCACGCTTGGGTACCAAAAAAGGCTCCCCAAGAGTTCAAAAAGTCTTTTTTTTCCCCCACCTCCCTCTGAGGCAAGAGTTCTGAGGGAGGCACCAGCATGAAATTAATCTGGTTTAAGTGGCTTAAAATTTTTAATTCCATAACAACACAAGAGCAAACAATAGATACAAACTCAAGGTTAATCTCACCAAACTTGATTGCAGGAAATGCAACTTCAGCAACAGAGTGGCCAATGTCTGGAATACTCTACCTGACTCTGTGGTTTCTTCCCCAAACCCCAAAAACTTTAACCTTAGACTGTCTACTATTGACCTCACCCCTTTCCTAAGAGGTCTGTAGGGGGCGTGCATAAGCGCACCAACGTGCCTACCGTCCCTGTCCTATTGTTTCTTTTTATTTTTCTTATATGTATCCATAACTACGTTTTTACTTATACCTATTATCTTGTAAGCAATTGACAAACCAAATAAATAATAATAATAAAATAATAATAGTTTGGTGGACGTGGCTTGGGGGCCATCCTTTGCGCGTGCGTGCAGAGGTGAGATGGGAGGCTGTAGAAATAAAATAAAATAATAAAATAAATAGCTTGGCTTTCCTCCTCTTTTTTTTTTTTTTTTTTTAGTTTTACAGTCAACAGGATCATTTCTAGGAAATTGAAACAGAAAGTAGCTTCTGTTTTTGTGGCAGCTACACGTGAGATCATCTGCAACATTTCCGTTCTGCGATTGTTTTGGCAAAGTTCACATTTGTGTTAGCTCCTCTTTCACTTTTGCTACATAGCTGCCTTCAGGCAGGACACCCCACCCCACCCCAGAAACAGATCCTGTTCTGGACCTCTTCAAAGCTCCCAGCTTCTCTGTCACTTTGGAATTTTCTTGCTCCAGATCCCTGGGAAAGGACAAAACTGCATAAATATGACCAACCAAGTATCCTGGAAAGGAGAGGTCAGTGAACGGGACAGAATCCTAAGATGGAGGCCCAAGGAAAAAAGTATTTGAAAGGGAAGCAGTGTATATTTGTGTGTGTGTATGTGTGTGTGTCTGTGTCTGTGTTTGTGCAGGTATTGGGGTGTGTTTTATGACCCCCTGGGGTGATGGATTATACTTTTCAGGGGTGAACTTTGTCCCAATTCCTTAATCTTTGTGTCTTATGTTTCTTGGACACAGGATATCAGTTGCTGAGTTTCAGAGAGTGTGTATGTATCCAACTGTTTTTTCTGCAATTCAGCTTTACGGGCTGATTTTATCCCATTAAATGGTTGCAAGAAAGAAACATACTGAAGTCAGGTTTAATAGGAGGAGATGGATTGGTTTATTTAGTGACTCTTCACTGAAGACTTAAGACTTTGTCGCTTGTATCCTTATGATCTATACTGACTGCTTCCTAATATGATTCGATTGCTTATTGTACCCTGTGACTATTATTAAGTGTTGTACCTGATGATTCTTGACTCTGGACGAATGTCTCTTTTCTTTTATGTACACTGAGAGCATTTGCACCAAGACAAATTCCTTATGTAAACAACCACACTTGGCCCATAAAGAATTCTATTCTATTCTATTCTATTCTATTCTATTCTATTCTATTCTGTTCTGTTCTGTTCTGTTCTGTTCTGTTCTGTTCTGTCCTGTCCTGTCCTATCCTATCCTATCCTATCCTATTCTTAACTCTTGACAAATATATCTTTTCTCTTATGTACATTGAGAGCATTTGCACCAAGACAAATTCCTTGTGTGTCCAGTCACACTTGGCCAATAAAAGAATTCTATACTGTTCTATACTATACTTAAGACTTTTTCACACAGCTGTGGCAAGCATCCTCATGGCCACGTCATCAAAATTCAGACGCTTGGGCAACTGACTCGTACTTATAATGGTTGCAGCGTCCCGGGGGTCACATGATCCCCTTTTGCCACTTTCTGACCAGCCAAATCAACGGGAAAGCCAGATTCACTGAACAACGGTGTTACTCACTTAACAACCGCAGTGATTTGCTTAACAACTGCGGCAGGAAAGGTTGAAAATCGGGGCAAGGCTCACTGAAACAGATGTCTCACTTAGCAACAGAAATTCTGGGCTCATTTGCCATCGTAAGTCAAGGACTGATTTCTATCATGCCTATCTTGCTTTATGAATAACTCAAGGCAGGAGACACACATAATAACATTCTTTGTGCAAAGCCCAAGATCAGAGAGGCCTCCGGAAGGATGTTCTATTGAGTTGTGGGTTTTCTCAACAACAGCTATGTACTTCGGGAAAACTTGGGTTCTGAATTTAAAAAAGTTATGTGTGCATCTGTGTACTGAGACGGTATCCCAATATGTTGCAATGACGAGGCAGTCGAGGTGTTTGATCATGATCAACTGATTCATGATGAACTTTATTGGAATCTAGTCTTGCATTTATACACATTTTTAGTTATCCTCTAACATTGGTTAACTTTGGTTTCTGCTTGACTTTCATTATTGTTCAGCATAGTAACTAACACAATTAACGATCTCTAGTCAAAGTCCAACATATGTTTACTTCCTCTCTCTAATCCTCCTTTAGATGAGTAACTTTGTTTGCCTGAGTTGTATCTGCTTGGAACCATTCTTTTCTGTTTGAGGTTTGCCATCAGATAAGAACATTCCTGCAATTACAACTCTACACCAATATTTGAGGGGCTGCCCCAAAGAAGAGGAGGCCAATTTATTCTCCAAAGGACCTGCAGGACAGGAAGCAACAGATAGAAACTAATCAAGGAGAGAAGCAACCTAGAACTAAGGAGGAATTTCCTGAGTGTTAGAACAATTAATCAGTGGAACAGCTTGCCTCCAGAAGTTGCGAATCTCCAAAACTGGAGGTTTTTAAGAAAAGTTTGGACAGCCATTGTTGGAAATGACTCCAGATAACAAGAAGTTGGATTGGTTTTGCATTTGGAAGAGATTTCTTTTCAGGTGGGGAGGGGGGAGTAGAACTCCTTAACATCGGAGCATGGTATTAATAATAACATAGGAAATACTAATACTCTGATGGTCATTTTGAAAAATCCTTTGTTAGTGAGCCCCTAGAAGCCAAGAGGAACATAGGGGCCAAATTCCAGTTTGTAGGCTTTACGGTTCTGGAGATTTTGTGATGATGCGTGAGTGGAATTTCGCTTTTATATTTATAGATGGGATGCTTGAACAGGGGTTGGACTAGAAGATTCCTTCCAGCTCTGTCATTCTGTTCTTTTGATTCTATAGGAGATTGCATCACAACTTTATGTATTTTTTAGACTTCCTGCCTTGCTGCATGACGGCTTGCAGACTTGGGTTCTGCTTTCATGGTCCATTGGAGTTTTGCATCTGTGTGCAGGTTTATTAGAGAAACTGGCAGGGTGGGTGTGTCGCAAAGATGGCTGGTTTCTCTATACCAGTGATCCCCAACCTTTTTTACGCCGCGGCCTGGTATCCCCAACCTTTTTTATGGCGCGGCCCGGTACCGACATCAGCTGGGCGCCGCCATCTTGTTTTGATGAAAAAGTGCTTCCGGTGAGCTTT